ATGAGTTTCCTCCTTCTCTGTAAAAAAAGGTGGTGGTGGCAGTGTGAAGGGTTAATTGCATAATTAACCGGACCCAGTAACAATCGCTCTCAGGCTGCTGGCACATAGATTGTGGTCTCGCGAGCTGGAAAATCTTTGTGCAGGGCACAGCTGAGAGTGGCATTGTTACGCAAGTGACAGCGCGGTGCGAGATCGGCTGGTCCTTCTGTCACGAGTTGTTGAGAAGGGCTGGGGTCTTTCTTTTATTTCTCTGTTGTTTTATTGTTCTCTTTATATATTTGTTACATCTTTTTCTGTAAATATTTTAATTGCACCATTTTGACCTTTTTAGTAGTAAATCCTATTTTCTGAAAAGTGTTGAACTGTCTCTAAAGCTTTTAATGCAATCTAAAGAATCCCTGTCTCTGAAGAGTGCTACTGGACGTGATAATCCTCTGAATACATCAGTCTGTGGTGACAGTGTGTGTTACAGACGCTTATACTAATATCATAGTGTTACTGCTAAGATTTGTGAGTTTCCTCCTTCTCTGTAAAAAGGGGGGTGGTGGCAGTGTGAAGGGTTAATTGCGTAATTAACCAGACCCAGTAACAATCACTCTCAGGCTGCTGGCACATAGATTGTGGTTCCGTGACCTGGAAAATCTTTGTGCAGGGCGCAGCTGAGAGTGGCATTGTTACGCAAGTGGCAGCGCGGTCTGAGATCAGCTGGTCCTTCGGTCACGTGTTGGTGAGAAGGGCTGGGGTCTGACGCCGCGCACCGTCACAGAAATGCCCGATGGTTTATAGATTTTGGATTCGAAATATTTTACTTCATCTATTCAGTAACGGGAATTAATATTCGTAAATCACCGGAAGTAGCTTTATTTCATTTGTTGCCCAGTGATATTCCCAGGAAATCAGTTAAATGAATCCTTTATCTTCTGGTGGAAGTGTGAATTACTATAGCTGGATGTTGGAGACAGTCATCAATTCCGCTAGACTCCGTCACACAGAAAATTAATTGGATTATGATAAACGTACGAGTATCGTTAATAATAATACTTCTAAATTTGAGGTTACATGGGAACCATGGATTAGGTATATCTCTGCTATCTAATGGACCAGGGGCGGACTGACAACTCATGGGGCCCCCGGGCAATAGGGGATCATGAGGCCCCTGTGTCCTTGACCACACTCAACGCACACCCAAAAAAGCCTATAAAAAGGTACCAGGGCATTTCATGGTGCCCCCTACTGACCCCGGGCCCTCGGGCAGTGCCCGAGTGCTCAAATGGTCAGTCCGCCCCTGTAATGGACTTATGGCTGGTCCTCTTCTCTCTTTTCTTTCCTTTCCCCTTCTTTCTTTCTCCTCTTTTGTTTTTTTTTTCTGTCAATAATAAAGTTGTGTGTCGCGCTCCACAGTGAATATATGGTGACATGTAAAAATGAATATTTAATAATATGCCAATCTAAATAAAAAAAATATTTTAATTAATTAATTAATTAATAGTGGTATAATGATGACATAATAAATATCATAAAATTCATAAATTAATGTCAAATAAATCAATAATATTTATGCGGAAGCGCCACGCTAAGCGTATCAATAGAGCAAAAAATATTGACAAAGTGCTTAAAATAGTGCTTGAAAAAGTGCTGAAAGTGATATATAAATAATATAATATAATAAATTAAATTTAATTTATATGACACAATCAATAAAGTCCACTTTGTGCTTCAAATCTTGTTGTGCAAATAAATGTGAAGTGAAACTCTTGTTGTGTTGAGAAAATATATATGCGCTCACCTCACATACAGCCAAACTGTTAACTAAGGCTAATAACCAGGGGCGGACTGACCATTTGGAAACTTGGGCACTGCCCGAGGGCCCGGGGTCAGTAGGGGGCCCCATGAGATGCCCCTGGTACCTTTTTCATAGGCTTTTTTTTAGTTTGGGCAAGGACACAGGGGCCCCATGATCCCCTATTGCCCGGGGGCCCCATGAGTTGTCAGTCCGCCCCTGCTAATAACTCTTTTTTGTCCTAAAAGGACAGTATTTTCCATACTGTAAAAAAATCTCTCCAGGATCTGATGGATAGACCGTACTTCCACCCTTCTCCCACTGGGGGCCTCCCCAACTCCTTCCTGGCACTACTGATAGGAGTAGCATGGCACTTCCTCATAAATATTATTGATTTATTTGACATTAACCCCTCGTCCTCCTGAGGATTTACCCCCCTTAATGACCACGCCTCTTTTTGCTACTCGGCGCTGCACTAATTCAACTGATAATTGTGCGGTCATGCAATGCTGCACCCAAACAAAATTTACGTCCTTTTTTTCACACAAATAGAGCTTTCTTTCGGTGGTATTCGATCACCTGTGCACTTTTTATTTTTCACGCTATAAACAAAAAAAGGCCAAAAATTTTGAAGAAAAACAATCTTTTTTACTTTCAGCTATAAAAAATATATAGTAAACTCAAAGTTGGTTATAAATTTAGGCCAAAATGTATTCTGCTCCATGTTTTTGGGAAAAAAATCCCAATAAGTGTATATTGATTGCTTTGTGTGGAAGTTATAGCGTCTACAAACTATGGTATAGATACTGCAATTTACGCCATTTTTCTGCTATACAGCGCTGCGCTAGTTTAACGGACAATTGCGCGGTCATGCAATACGGTACATAAATGAAATTTACATCCTTTTTTTTCCCACAAATTGAGCTTTCTTTCGGTGGTATTTGATCAGCTGTGCGGTTTTTATTTTTTGCGCTATAAAAAAAAAGGCTGACAATTTTGAGGAAAAAAAAACAATATTTTGGACTTTTTGCTATAAAATATGTCCAGTAAAAAAAAAAATGCAAACATCAAATTTAGTCATAAATTTTCGCCAAAATGCATTCTGCGACATGTCTTTGCTAAAAAAAAAAAAACCCGATACGTGTAAATAATTGCTTTACGTGAAAGTTATAGCGTTTACAAATGGCGGGAAAGATACTGGGATTTTTAGGTTTTTTTTTATACTAATAATGGCGGCGATCAGCGACTTATGGCGGGACTGCGGCGGACATTCTGACATTGGGGGGTACTGACTTGGGGTCACTGTCATCCCCAAAAACACTAATACAGTGATCAGTGCAAAAAAAAAAAAAATTAACACTGTACTAATGGCACTGGGGAGGAAGGGGTCAACTTTATTTTGCAGGGAAGGGTTATCTGAGTGAGGGGAGTGTTTTACTAGGGGGCGGGGTGTGTGCTGGACTGGACAAAGCTGATCGAGAGAGAGAAACTCTTCTCTCTCGATCAGCTCGTCCTCGAGCTGTCAGGGAAGTGACAGACAGCACAGCTACTGCAGCTGTGCTGTCTGTCACTGTTTGCCGCCGATCGCCGGGAAACAGCCGGTAAAGACCGGCTGTGACCCGGTGACTGACATTCGCAGCGGTGATCGGCGGGACAGATAGGGCGAAGGCGCACCTCACGCGCGCCCCGTTTACAAAAACACGCGTTTTAAAACGTGGTTTTGCCTGCCCGTGCCGCCCTGCCGCCGTATTTCTACAGTGGCAGGGCGGCAAGTGGTTAATTTATGACTTTTATGATATTTATTATATCCTCATTATACCATTATTAATGAATTTAAAATATTTTTTATTTAGATTGGCATATTAAATATTCATTTTTACATGTCACCATATATTCACTGTGGTGCGCGACACACAACTTTATTATTGACATTTAACTTTGCACAGTTTTAGGAGTATGTGTTTGATGCACCACTATTACAGTATCTTTATTTAATTTTTTTATTTACATATAAAATACCACATTTTAGCTCACAAGCACTTTATCACGTTTGGTTTTTTTTCTGTTGTATTCTTTACTCTCTTCTTTGACTCCTCTGTTCACTTTTTTCGGTCTCCTTATTTTGTCAGATGACTATCTGAAACTGCCCAGGTTTGATGACCGATGGAATATGTGATACCCTACTGGGGCTGTTCCCTTGTGTACAACATCATTGGTTGATGTATTCTCATGTGCCCAGGGGCGGACTGACCATTTGGAAACTCGGGCACTGCCCGAGGGCCCGGGGTTAGTAGGGGGCCCCATGAGATGCCCCTGGTACCTTTTTCATAGGCTTTTTTGAGTTTGGGCAAGGACACAGGGGCCCCATGATCCCCTATTGCCCGGGGGCCCCATGGGTTGTCAGTCCGCCCCGGCATGTGCCTATATACTCTATGAATCTGTTTGTTCACCACAAGTCACCATGTAGGTGGGCTATGTCTCCTATTTTTCTGTATATACTTTCTACAGTTTTTCATAAAAAAAAAAATATTGAAATACAAAAACTTTTATTGCACAATAAACCATAAGAAATGCACTCACATTCAGTAGGCGCATAACTGCACCAGGTATGATGAACATCCAGTAATGTACTTCTTTAGGCACAAGATGGCAGTATCATCCCCGGCAGGATGGACCAGTCCAGGCTCCAAAACGTCACCAAAATGTGGAATGCAAGGCAAGTCATTATAGACCTGTAAATGTAACTTCTATAGTTGGGAAGATACTGGAGAGTTTAATAAAAGACACAGAGATGAGTTCTTGCTGGAAAAAATATTTTAAGACAGAAGTTGTCAAACAAATCTGATTTCTTTTTATGAGGAGGTGAGCAAAACCTTGGACAGAGGGGTGGTGGTGGACGTGTTATACTTGGACAGAGGGGTGGCTGTGGATGTGGTATACTTGGACAGAGGGGTGGCGGTGGACATGGTATACTTGGACAGAGGGGTGGCGGTGGACGTGGTATACTTGGACAGAGCGGTGGCGGTGGATGTGGTATCCTTGGACAGAGGGGTGGCGGTGGACGTGGTATACTTGGACAGAGGGGGTGGCGGTGGACGTGGTATACTTGGACAGAGGGGTGGCGGTGGCCGTGGTATACTTGGACAGAAGGGTGGCGGTAAACGTGGTATACTTGGACAGAGGGGTGGCTGTGGACGTGGTATACTTGGACAGAGGGGTGGCTGTGGAAGTGGTATACTAGGACAGAGGGGTGGGGGTGGACATGGTATACTTGGACAGAGGGGTGGCGGTGGACGTGGTATACTTGGACAGAGGGGTGGCTGTGGACATGGTATACTTGGACAGAGGGGTGGCGGTGGCCGTGGTATACTTGGACAGAGGGGTGGCTGTGGAATCCTTAGACAGAGGGGTGGCTGTGGACGTGTTATCCTTGGACAGAGGGGTGGCTGTGGACGTGTTATCCTTGGACAGAGGGGTGGCTGTGGACGTGGTATGGCTTGAAAAAAATTGGTTTGTAAATGGATAGAAAACTGGCTAAAAGACCGAATTCAGAGAGTAGTGGTTAATGATTTATACTCTGAATGGTCTAGGGGTGTCAGTGGGGTACCTCAAGGTTCAGTGTTAATAACCAATACACTCCCGGCCAATAGCCAAAAGGCAGCCGGCAAAATGTATTGGATTTCCGGGTTGGACGCCAAATGGCGTCCTCCTGAACATGCGCATTTTCGCGCTTGCAGAGCCGCGCAGCGGCGTGATCTGTCACCGGCCGTGTACCTCGGACAGGGCCGATGACAGATCTGAGTATCGGCCCCATTGCCAGTACCATGTGACCTGCTGTGACCAATCACAGCAGGTAACATGACAGTTGTATAAAATGGATGGCTTCATTCATGCCATCCATTGTATACTACTGTCTTACTATGGTAACATTGTACTACTTTGGACATAGCGAAATATGAAAAAAAAATCTTAAAAAAGAAAAAAATTTAATAAAAATTTAAAAATAATAAAAAAAAATTTTAAAAAAAATATATTTTTTTTCATACTGTCACCAGTCAGTGTCCCTGATCACCACCATGCCAGTTATATGAAGACGCTGTACTGCACTGGTGACAATATGTAAAAAAAAAAATAGTGAAAATAATTTTTTCATTTTTTGAAACATTATGACAAAAAAAATACAACTTCAAAAAACTCGCCATGCCTCTTATGAAGTACGTCGGACTGTCTACTCTGCAAAAAGGGATCATTTGGGGGATATCTGTACCGTCCTGACATTTGGGGGATATCTGTACCGTCCTGACATTTGGGGGATATCTGTACCGTCCTGACATTTGGGGGATATCTGTACCGCCCTGACATTTGGGGGATATCTGTACCGTCCTGACATTTGGGGGATATCTGTACCGTCCTGACATTTGGGGGATATCTGTACCACCCTGACATTTGGGGGATATCTGTACCGCCCTGACATTTGGGGGATATCTATACTGTTCTGACATTCTTGGACCTCAAGAAATTAGATTGGCTGTCAGTACTTCAGGATTGATCAATACTCAGATCTATCCCATAGTTTGTGAACTCTATAACTTCCCTACAAACTAAAAAATACATCCTAATTTGGGTTATTGTCACCAAAGACATGGAGCAGAATACATCTCGGCCTAAATTTATGAAGAACAATTATTTGCCAACTTTTATAACAGAAACAAAGAAAAATGTGTTTTTTTCAAAATGTTCGGTCTTTTTTTGATAATTTATCAAAAAAAAACCCCCAGCGGTAATTAAATACCACCAAAAGAAAGCTCTAGTTGTGTGAAGAAAATGATAAAATTTTAGTTTGGGTACAATGTTGTATGACCGCGCAATTGTCATTCAAAGTGTGAGAGCGCTGAAACCTGAAAAATGGCCTGGGGGGGAAGGGGGAAATTGCCCGGTATTGAATTGGTTAATGGGGTACCCCAAGGTTCAGTGATGGGACCCTTACATTTTAATATATTTTATAAATGATATCGGGTCTGGGATTTCAGTCCGGCCAGTGTCGGCCTCAAACACTGAGGAATTCTGCAGAAAATCCAATTCTCAAAGGTTCCCAGCAAAAGTATCAGCTGCCTAGAGGAAAGGGTGGCATAGACCATTACTGTCAAGATGTATTTTTTCCCTAAACTTACCAGCACCAGTATGGGAATCTTACCTGCTGTCATCCCAATCCCTTCCCCCCGTCAGTGAAAAATCATGCACGGGGTACAGGTGAGCAGGTTCCTCCAATTCTAGAGTAAGGAACTTCTCCAGGATAATGTTCCTTTTGTCCACCAGCTCAGGAGGAATGAGTATGGACTTTTGTGCCTCAAAAACCAGTAATATTTCATTGTCCATGATGACAGCCATTGGTTTGTGTTGTCCCTTACTTTTCCACTGACCGACACTAGAGAGGAATGGGTGTTGGCCAGCTGGATGTTTGGTTATTCTTGCTCAGGGCAATTACAGATGAAGTATCGGGCTGGCCACAAGTGTAGCACCTGTAGGTATTAGCTGATGCCGGCTTGTTATAAGAAGCTCCTGGGGCTAGTTGAAGGGAGACTTGGCTCACAGGTGCAACAGTGGGTGTCAGTGGTGATTTTTCCTGTTTTCAGCCACTAGGAGGCACCTTGTCTTGGTCAGATACCAGATAGTGTTTATGTAAGCATAATTCTGCTGCCCCTTTGCAGACTCAGGCTTGACCTCCATCACAAAATACTGAACTTCTGCAGGACAGACGTGTGGGAGATGATTCTATATTATCAGGTCCCCCAGGGACTCACAGTATTCTTTTTTAAGCCCTTTTTTAGCAGGGGTATTGAAATAAATTTCACTGAGTTCTGGTCAGAAAAGTTTTCTTACAACAGAGGTCCAAATTGCATGTTGGTGCGATGACTTGGATCCTTCCCATCACAGCTCTCCCTCCTCTTATATCTCAATTCCATTCTTACATCAGTGTCCTTACCCCCCCCCCCCCCCGCATATAACAATCCCCCCTTTTACATCATAGTTCCCTCTTCAGAGTTGTTTTCTCAGCCCCCCTTTACATCATCCCTATATTCTTTACAGGAGTCTTCTGCACCCCCCTTCATATACCACTCCCTTTCATTCACAGCAGTGTTCTCAACCCACCTTCACATCACTCCCCCCCCCCCCCCCAACAGTAGCATCCTCTGCTTCCTTCACATCACCCCCCACAGCCACTGGCAAATTTACCACAAGGCAAACAAGGCTTTTGCCTAGGACTGCAATTTTTGGGGGTGGGATGGAAGTGTCTGAGAACCTGGAGTGGCTCTGCCTTGGAATCCGAGGAGGCTGCGTGCTGTTGGAGGGTGTAAGCTTCCCGCACAAGGAAGGAGGACACTGAGCTTGGCTCTGGAGAGGTTAAGGGTTAGTGCTTCAATAACTTGCTCTCTCTTTGCATGCGTGGTGGGCACCCAATTTTAGTGGTGGCAGCAGAGGCGGGGGCCTGGGGGGAATGCTGCTGGTGGTGGGCACCCACTTTTAGTGTTGCCTAGGGCAGCACAAGAGCTAAATACACCACTGCCCACAGCAGGGTCCTCCTCTGCCGCCTTCACAACACACTCCCCGCAGCAGTGTCCTCCTTTGCCACCCCCTCCCGCAGCAGTGGCCTCCTCTGCACCCCTTCAAACCCCCCCCATAGCAGTGTTCTCCTCTGTCCACTTTAACCCTAAACCAGCTCCACAGCAGGGTCCTCCTCTACTGTCTTCACGTCACACTCCCACGGCAATGTCCTCTGTCCACCTTAACCCTAAACCCACTCCACAGCAGTGTCCTCCTCCTCCAAAGATATGTTCTCCTTTGCTCCCTTCACATCACCCCTCATCCTTCACAGCCGTGTCCTAAGCCCTTCACTCTCCTACCTCACAGGGGCCCACAGCGGAGTGGAGGGTGGGAGGCAAAGTAGAACCAGACAGAGGGGTAGAAGCAGAGCTGCCAGAGATAACTTTTCATATGAACATGCTGGTGATTGCATCCTAACAACTAATCACCTGCCGGTTAACTTGCCCTTCGCTCTGCTGCGAAAATGACAGCGGTGGAGAGTGGGGGAAAGAACGAGCTCCAAAGTGGTAACCACCGCAGTCCGGATGGGACTGTGACTCATTCCAAATCCGGACCATTTAGCGATTCCTGCTTCATAGATGGCTGCCAAAATGTGGTAAACAGGCAGCTTCCTACATCCACTTGGTGTTTGTAGCGGCTTCTTGTGGTATACTTCTGGTATCAATTGATAGCAGTCATTACAGCAGCCTTTAGGGCCTCATAATCCTTCTCATCTTGCAATTCCCCATAGGGCTTGACTCTTAGCTCCAGCATCAGATACGGGTCCACTGCGTCTGTGGCAACTGATACTGACAGCACATTACTTTTCAAAGGGTTGCAAATAAGTATTGATGCCACTGTCCTCTATGACTGGAAATTTGGCTGCATGACTCACAGCCAAAATGTGCTTCCCTATGTTCATTGGACTCAGGTGACAGTGGCTGTGATCAAGCCATCTTCAGTTATTGGTGGTGGGCAGCTTTCCTCTCTTCTGTCCAGCACTCTGCAGCTTGGCACTCGAAAAACTCCAGGTGCACCATAAGATCAGTAGTATCCATTGCAGTGCTTCCTGCAGCCATCAACGCTGGATACAGATAGTTCTGAGCAGGCTATGACCTGGAGGTTGCATTCATGGGTACATCAGGTCCAGTTTTTGTTCCACTCACCCAGCTAGCCAGTGCCAGGTCCCTTGTTGAAGAAAGTCTACTACTGGCTTCTGGACTCATGCTATGCCTGAATGTTGGTCTCATGTAAACTACGAATCAGGTCCTCCTTTGTTTTGTCACATTTCGATCTGCATTGCTTGGCATACATTCATCAGATACTTTGCTTCTTCTCTTGTACCCTGCTAAACCAGATGTAAGAGTGAAATACAAGAAGAAAAAAATAGGATAGAAAAACAAAGGAGAGAGCCAGGACTATAGCTATACGGGGTGGTATCAAAATGTTTAGAGACTAGTTTATATCATGCCAACAGATGGCAGTGTGATGGCATGGGTGGAGGCGGTGTGATGCCATGGGTGGAGGCAGTGTGGTGGCATGGGTGGAGGCGGTGTGATGCCATGGGTGGAGGCAGGGTGATGGCATGGGTGGAGGCAGTGTGGTGGCATGGGCGGAGGCGGTGTGGTGGCATGGGTGGAGGCGGTGTGATGGGATGGGTGGAGGCGGTGTGATGGCATGGGTGGAGGCAGTGTGATGGGATGGGTGGAGGCGGTGTGATGCCATGGGTGGAGGCAGGGTGATGGCATGGGTGGAGGCAGTGTGGTGGCATGGGTGGAGGCGGTGTGATGGCATGGGTGGAGGCAGTGTGATGGGATGGGTGGAGGTGGTGTGATGGCATGGGCATGCATGGCTTCCAGTTGGCACTGGGTCATTGGTGGTTATTGATGATGCGACAGAAGACCGAAGCAGCCGGATGAATTCTGCAGTGTTTACAGATCTACTGACAGCCCAGATTCAGCCCAATGAAGCAAAGTTGATTGGACAGAGCTTCATGGTACAGATGGACAATGATCCAAA